CACTAGTGTTTGTATTATACCAGCATTTCCCTTACAAAGTTCTCCATGAGCAGTTAATAGATATTTTCTGAAAAAGTGATTCTGTGGTCATAGATTTGGAATGACTCTATCTTGCTTCAGGAAGAACCACAATTTACATGAGCATGTTAAAAGCTCTTAGAAGTCCTAAAGTAAAAACATCTAAGTGTAGAATCAGATGTTCTCTATAGCTTTTTGTTTTCTTTTGTTTTTTTTTTATTGTCACGTTCTTTATTGGACCATCTATTGATAATTTGAAATTAAGTATTTCAGCAAACACAGTTTGGGAATACTGGCCTACTCAATGCTGCAAGTAGATTTATTCAAAAATTTCTCTGAAAGATATTATCTTTATGGAACATCTAATTTTTTACATAATTGTAATTTAGAGTTGGATCATTTTAGGTATTTAGTCAAGGCACTCAATAAGTAATTATTGAATTGAATTCAGAACTCATTCTACTTTATTTCATTTGTTACTTTGTTTCACCATTCTACATCTTCCTACTCAGAGCAAAAATCTCATTTTCACTTATAATGTTACTATTATGTAATTTAATGTTCTCTTTCTTAGAAATAGATGTATGTAGTTTGGGATTTTAAAAATACTTTCTTTACCTGGGAAGCTACAAGTATAATGTTTTATTCTTGAACTAAACTGACTTAAATGGGGAAGGTTTTACTGAACCAAATAAATTGTCTTTTAGAAAATACCATTGTTTTCAGAAAATCATTTGGTGAAATGTACTCAAATATTTTTTTTTTGTCAAAACGTAGTACTAGTACATTTTAGACCATATAAGAAATAAACTTACAGAAGAGCATTTCAAAATTATAGCAACTGGAGATAATCTGTTAACTTTTTGGTGTATATACTTAACTTTGTGTGTATGTGTGTATGCATGCATGTGTGCATATGTGTGTATGTACATACACAGATACGTAAATCCATATTCAGTTATTCAACAAATATTTAAGCACCATGCTTTGTGCCCAACACTGTTTTATGGTGGCTATTTAGCAGTGAACAAAATAGACAAAAATCCCTCCTTCATGATGCTTTGATTGGGGTAGGGGTAGAGGAGTAGGATGGGGAGGAAAGGGGGACAACAGTGAAAAAACCAAGTATACGACGTGTCAAAGGGTGGTAAGTGCTATGGAAAAATAAACCAGGGGAGAGGAATACAGAAGTATAGAGAGGGGCTGTTATATATATGTTCTTCTACTTTTAGACTTTTTTAATATATGCGTATGTTCAATTGTCTTTTTCTTTTAAAAAAGATTAAACACAATAAATATCCTGAACATACAATTTTCAGATGTCATTTTTACTTAATAAATAGATACATTTTTCCCATACCATTAAATATTATTTTGAGCCATTTAAAGGCTATGTATATTTCATTTTATGGAATATGATCCATTTTCTATACAGCAACCAGGGTGATCTTTTAAAACCCTTCAGCAACCATTGTTCTTAGTAAAAGGACAGATCCTTCACATGACCTGTGACTCTGCATGATTTGGTGCTAACTGCCTGTGCAGATGCCTCTGTTCTTCTCCTCCCTCCCTCACCATACTCCAGCCTCACTGGCCTTCTCTGTTTGGTCTCCTTCCTGTCTTAGAGTCCTGGTACATAGAGGAGGTGAGAGTAAATAAGAATATATAAGGTTACAGTTATACGCCAGTTGTTGAGGAGTGATTTTTAAGACTTAGAAGAACTTAACCATATTTGTTGTATATTGCACATATCTTGGGTCCTTAGTACCCTTTTCTTCTTTATCTAACTTTTTGTTATAAAAATTTTCAAACTTAAAAGCTGAACGAATAATACAATGAACAACTGTATACTCTTGACCTAGATTCTATAATTGTTAATGGTTTGAAGTATTTTTTCCTTATTCTATGATAAAATGTTTTTTTTGGGTTGAACTATTTGAAAGTATGTTGCACACATCATGACACTTGACCCCAAATGCCATGTATTAAGGGGAAATCATTTTCTTGACTGTTAAAGATAGGAGGAAATTGTGTGAAATATTTTATAAAACAAAAAACCACAAATAAGATTTTTTTAAAGCAGTGAGTGTTTAATATTGATAATTTGATTTCACAGTTAGGGAAAATGGATATAAACAGAAGGAAAAAATCTTTCTACAGAAGACTTTTCACACTGGAGAGACTATAAATGGTAACTAAGCATATGGAAAACCCTTTAGCTTGTCTCTCTCATAATGAAAGGTATACGTTTGCTACCATGTTTTGGGTAGTTAGTATGTCTCACATTTTATCTTAACCACAATCCCATATGGTAGGTACACAGTGTACATTAACAGATAATAAAATTTGCTGGAATAAATATCTTGTCCCAAGTTCCCAAGTCATAGAGCTAGTAAACCATGGAGCCAGCATTTAAATCCAGAGCACTCTTGATTGCAAAGTCCCATGTTCTTAACCACCATACTGCATTGCCTATAAAAATCAAAACACCTTAGGAGTCCCATTTTACACCTAGAAAGTATTTTTTATTATGGTTTAATTAGAAAAATAAATGAGATAGCCAGGAAAATTCAAAAAAAGAATTAGGAGAGAATTGCCTTACTAGATAATAAATGTAGTACGAGGCTACACTGTTTAAAACTTGTTAAATACTGGCATAGGAGACAGTTAAGTAGGAAAAAAGAACCCGGAAATACTCCCAAGTGCATGGGGAATTTATTCTATGATAAAGGGACGTTTTTAATCATTAGGGAGAGTAGGTGATTTTATGCATGGCGTTAGGACAGGTGGCTCGCTATCTCTCCTCATACAAAAAATAAAAAGATAAACCATCTCTCTCACATGTTCACCTACATAAAGACATGCTGATAGATTAAGTGTTCTAAACTAGGAACAAAATGCAAATCAAGAATAACGTGCCTTGCTTCCTCACTTCCTCCTTGAGTTTGATATATGTATTGGGGACATAGGTCAAAGAAAATTTCTCTTGACATTTAAGAGTGTCTGAGAGTAGAAGAGGATGCATGTATACGACTGACTTCCCAGCTGGGGCTCACAGAAGCGCTCTGTGTTCGTGGGCATTAAGGGCCAGTAGATATGACAACAAACTATACCAAAGTGTGTGAGGGTACAATCAGCCATCAGTCATCTCTTCCACCCCCCTACACAAAGTTTCTACCAGATCCCAGGAGCCATTAGGCAGCCTGAATCAAAGATCACATTGAGTTATAAAAAGTATTTTTTTTACACTGCCTAGTTTGTGACTGTATGACTTATACCTGTTAGTAAACATGGCAAAACCGTAAAGGAAAAGATTGATAAATTTGACTAATAGAACTTTCCTGCCTGGAAAAAATACCTAAACAAAATCAGAAGTCAAACTTTAGGAGAATATTTGTAAAATTTATTACAAGAGGCTAATTTCCTTAATGTTAAAAAGGAAATAATCTACGTATTTAAACATCAATGGGAAAAAGAAAAGCAGCTCTTTTGAAAATGAGCAAACAGCAGCAATGTTTAAAGGAAGAACAACTTTACTATCATTGTCAAAAAGTTAACCTGAAATAACAAGATGGGTGATTTCAGAATTCAAAAGGGATGGTAAGAAGTTACTACAAGGATGATGGGGATATATGTTGTTGTAACCTCATATACCCTTTGAGCACTTCCATTTGTAGTTGTCCTCCAGATGCTTTCACAAGTCCACAAAGATGTCTTGTATTCAAAAGTACAGGAATGGTTTTTGCATCATTTGGGGACAAGAGTAGGCATTTAGGTTCTTTCCAGGGTATTTTTCCTATCAATTAGTGTCTGATTAAATAAATTATGGTATATCCATATAGTGAAATACAGTGCAGCTGTTGTAAAATTTGTAGTAGAGGTATCAGTGTGAAAGATCTCCAGGATATAGCGAGTGAACCAAAGCCCTAGGGATAAAGCTCTGTATGTTGCGTAGTAGAGTCCTATCTGTAAATTAAAAAATATATATTTTATTAGTATATATTATTAACAGAGGCTACTTATGAGGACTGGAATTTTTCCATACTGTTGGAATGTTTTTCATCCTTGAACTTGTATATATTTAAAAAACTAGTTTAAGGTTAATAAAATGTTGGCCAAAAATCGGTGATGATCAGGCTGAGTGAGAACAGATATTTTTATGACAGCTAGTGGTATCAGAAACTGGTAAAGTCTTCCTGTGTGGTGACTAAACCAAACCTTATTTTGAGCACCTGTTAAATGCCAGGCATTAAACTAAATATTTTATGCGCATTTATCTTACTTAAGTCTCCAATCAACTCTATAAAGTCGATTCTGTTTTTCTCTTACTAGAGGAAATACATTTGGAAGGCTGGATAAAGTGCCTTGCCTGGAGGCACAAACTGCAGAGCCTGAACTTTTCATTCCCTGTGCTTACTTCAATACTGTTCAAAAAAAGGCTCTGGAAGTTCATAAGAAAGGTTATTACTCCAGACAAAAGACCAGGCTTGAATTTGTGTCAGTATCATTAACTAAAAATGGTGATGATAATCTCCACCCTTGGAAATGATTGTATTAGTTAATTTGTATGAAAGTACTTTCTAAGTTTATAAAGCAGTGTTTGAATAGGAGATGAGAATCAATAAAATATTTTTTATACGTAGCCTGCTTTCTTCATACAGTAAGTTCAAATGTTTTAACCCTTTTCTTTTTTTAATCTCATCTATCAAATGCACAGTTTAAGTAACAGTTTTAGTCAACTTTTTAGAATCTTCTGTATAATTTAACTCAATTTTGGTGTAGTACCTTTTCTTAAATTGAGGAAATATACAGCATATCTAACAAAGTCTTCTCATTTATACTTAAAATGTTTTTACCACTAACTGTGTTGTTAGCAGCATCCTTTCAAGACTAAACAAATGAACAAAAACCTCTTCATAAAGCTATACATTCTGTTTGCTGTTTTTTTAATACATAAATGTACCAATTTTTCCTCTTTTTAGGAACACCATCTTCAGCGGGCTATTTCAGCACAGCAGGTGTATGGCGAGAAGAGGGATAATATGGTTATACCAGTTCCAGAGGCAGAAAGTAATATTGCTTACTATGAGTCTATATATCCTGGGGAATTTAAGATGCCAAAGCAGCTCATTCACATACAGCGTAAGTAATTACTCTTTTAATAATTATATTTTCTATATTTACTATCTTATGTAACTCTTGGCAGATTTTTATCTGTTCAAGGCCATTGTCGGTACCCATTTCATTGACCAGCATCAGCTTGAAAGTTATTAGAGCCCCATTTTCAACTTCTAAAATTGTGCTTGAGATTTCTTCCTGACAAAAAGGGATAGCATTTTCATCTAAGATTTCTCGTTTCATCTCAACATGGGATCTTATGCTACTTTAGACAAGTAGGATAAAGAATATACCTCAGGTATAGAAGTTTTTTTTACTGTTCAGAAATAGTTATATTAATAGCCTTAAAGAACTTAATGAAAGTCAGGAGTCAGCAGACTTTTTTTGTGAAGTTAGTAAATCTTTTCTCTCAAGATAGTAAATATTTTAGGCTTTGTGGGTCATTCAGTCTCTCTCACAGCGGTTCAGCTCTGCTGTTGTGGGGCAAAATCATCAGTAGATAACACGTAAAGGAATGGACGTGGCTGTGTTGCAGTAAAAGTTTGTGGACAAAGACAGACGGCAACCCAGTATTGGCCCATGGGCCATAGTTTGTCAACCCCTGATCTTTGTTGCTACTAATTTTTTTAGTTTAGTGTTCTAATTGGTAGCTTGTTTCACTCGACAGTGATAGTTCTTTATTAGAAATGATCCTGTAATAGCTATCACTTTTGGTGATGAACAGCTGAGAGTTTGTAGACTTAAGGGAATGTATTTCATTCTCCCAATCCCCAAGTGGTTGACAATTTAGACACATAGTTGAAAGGTTACGAAGGTAAAATTGCTACAGCTTTCATTGTTGTCTTGTTGACCTTTGTGATCAAGACGTTATTCCAGGGACCTGTCTGAACTTTTTTCAGGACAGTATAAATCATTTAATTTTTATTGTTCTTGCTAAGGACATAGAGTGTAGTTTTAAATAGTTTCTAACTCATTTAACCTTTTCTTCATATGATCTAGTTTCTGTCCTGAATTCTAAACACTTATTTTACTATTTCTTAAATATGAAAACCAAAAATAAACATGGTGCCCATATTGGCTCTTATCAGTACTATATTGGCATTTGAAATTTTAAACTTGCGGTATTTTTTCTCTCTAACTGTGACTTGAACCTAACCTTATTGATTTCCTTTAGGAAAAAAATTTATTTTTCCGATTTACTAAAGGTTACTTTGAAGTGAGCCAAATAAGTGGTATGTGTTTTCTTGCCCACTCACATATTTAATTACATATAAAATCCAGACATTCTAAAAAATTTGATCAATATTAGAACCTAAAAATTAGTTCTCTGGAAAATCATGTCAATGTGAGTTACACATCTGATCCTTCCTATATATGTTAACTGGAGCCACATTGTAAGATGATATAGCCTGTGGCTGTGGAATACAAATGCATGCTGTTAGGTTGGGGTTAAGCAGGGTTGGGTAACATAAAATTACGTTAATCAGGAGCCAGCCCGGTGGCGCAGCAGTTAAGTGCGCACGTTACACTTCTCAGCAGCTCATGGTTCACCGGTGCAGATCCCAGGTGCGGACATGGCACCACTTGGCAAAAACCATGCTGTGGTAGGTGTCCTACGTATAAAGTAGAGGAAGGTGAGCATGGATGTTAGCTCAGGGCCAGTCTTCCTCAGCAAAGAGAGGAGGATTGGCAGTAGTTAGCTCAGAGCTAATCTTCCTCAAAAAAAGAAAAATATATAGAATTAAAAAAAAATTCATCAATTTACATTATCATTATTATCAGAAAAAGAATTTGAATGTGTGTTTCATGGATAGACTGCTTATTGATGACCAAAATCTACAGAACACATTTTGCTGGTAACTAGTAGATTAAATTATGGTCAGAAAAGTCAAAAGATGCTGTATTAAAAAAGGAATTGACTTTGCTGACATGGTAATCAAATAATAGTAATAAAATGGCAGCAGAATTGTAGCTTATTAGAGGAAAAAATGTTTTAATCAGTACAAATTTGAAGTATGTTGTCTTTGGAAATATGTATACATTGCGTTATTAATATAGACCATCAGCTAAATTAGTTAGCCGCCATTGAATTTCGTTTTAACTGTTGGTTTTGAATAATTATAGATTCACGAAAGGATATGTGTAGCCCTGTACAATCACCACCAAGATCAAGATCCTCAGTGGTGTGCCATCACCACAAAATTCCCTCTTGTTACTCCTTTATAGCCAAACCTATCCCTAGTCCCTGGCAGCCGCTAATCTGTTCTCCGTCTGTATAATTATGTTAGTTCTGACTGTAACATAAATGGAATCATGCAGTATATATCCTTTTGAGATTGGCGTTTTTCTCTTAGTATAACATCCTTGAGGTTCATCCAAGTTGTTTCGTTTCTCAGTAGTCAGTCCTTCTTATTGCTGAGAAGTATTTTGTAATACGTATGCACCACAGTTTGTTTAACCATTCACCCATTGAAAGACATTTGGGTAGTTTCCAGTTTTTGACTATTGCAAATAGAGCTGCTGTCTGTCAGCATTCATGTACAAGTTTTTGTGTGAACATAAGTTTTTATTTCTCAGGGATAAATACCTATGAGTGTAGTTGCTGGCTCATCTATTTTTAGTTTGACAAGAATTTCCACAGTATTACCCAGAGTAGCTGTGCCATTTTACACTATCACCAGCAATGTATATGCGACCAGTTTCTCCTGTTTCATTGCCAGCCTTTGGGGTTATCACTGTTTTTTTGGTCTTTTTTTTTTTTTTTAATTTTTTATTGAGTTAATGATAGGTTACAATCGTGTGAAATTTCAGTTGCACATTGTTATCTGTCAGTCATGTTGTAGGTGAAACCCTTCACCCTTTGTGCCCACCTTCCACCCCACCTTTCCCCTGGTAGCCACTAATCTGTTCTCTTTGTCCACATGTTTAAAGTCCTGATATGAGTGGAGTCATACAGAGATTGTCCTTCGCTATCTGGCTTATTTCACTTAACATAATTCCATCAAGGTCCAGCCATGTTGTTGCAAATGGGGCGATTTTGTTCTTTTTTATGGCTGAGTAGTATTCCATTGTATATATATATACCACATCTTCTTTATCCAGTCCTCTGTTGATGGGCACTTAGGTTGCTTCCACATCTTGGCTATTGTAAATAATGCTGCAGTGAACATAGGGGTGCATGGGACTTTGGGAATTGCTGACTTCAAGCTCTTTGGATAGATACCCAGTAGTGGGATAGCTGGGTCATATGGTAGTTCTATTTTTAATTTTTTGAGGAATCTCCATACTGTTTTCCATAGTGGCTGTACCAGTTTGCATTCCCACCAGCAGTGTATGAGGGTTCCTTTTTCTCCACAGCCTCTCCAACATTTGTTACTATTTGTTTTAATTATTTTTGTCATTCTAATGGGTGTAAGGTGGTATCTTAGTGTAGTTTTGATTTGCATTTCCCTGATGATCAGCGATGATGAACATCTTTTCATGTGGCTATTTGCCTTCCCTGTATCTTCTTTGGAGAAATGTCTGTTCATGTCTCCTGCCCATTTTTTGATCCGGTTGTTTAATTTTTTGTTGTTGAGTTGTGTGAGTTCTTTATATATTATGGATATTAAGCCTTTGTCGGATGTATTACTTGCAAACACTTTTTTTTTCTCAGTTAGTGGGTTGTTTTTTTGTTTCAATCCTGTTTTCCCTGGCCTTGAAGAAGCTCTTTAGTCTGATGAAGTCCCATTTGTTTAGTGTTTCTATTGTTTCCCTTGTCTGAGAAAACATGGTATCCGAAAGGATCCTTTTAATACTGATGTCAAAGAGTGCACTGCCTACATTTTCTTCTAGAAGCCTTATGGTTTCAGGTCTCAGCCTTAGGTCTTTGATCCATTTTGAGTTTATTTTGGTGAATAGCGAAAAAGAATGGTCAATTTTCATTCTTTTACATGTGGCTTTCCAGTTTTCCCAGCATCATTTGTTGAAGAGACTTTCTTTTCTCCATTGTAGGCTCTCAGCTCCTTTGTCAAAGATTAGCTGTCCATAGATGTGTGGTTTTATTTCTGGGCTTTCAATTCTGTTCCATTGATCTGTGCACCTGTTTTTGTACCAGTACCATGCTGTTTTGATTACTGTTGCTTTGTAGTATGTTTTGAAGTCAGGGATTGTGATGCCTCCAGCTGTGTTCTTTTTTCTCAGGATTGCTTTAGCATTTCAGGGTCTTTTGTTGCCCCATATGAATTTTAGGATTCTTTGTTCTATTTTTGGTGTTTGTTTTTTTTTTTCCTTGAAGAAGACTAGCCCTGAGCTAACATCTGCTAATCCTCCTCTTTTTGCTGAGGAAGGCTGGCCCTGAGCTAACATCTGTGCCCATCTTCCTCCACTTTATATGTGGGACACCTACCACAGCATGGCTTGCCAAGTGGTGCCATGTCTGCACCTGGGATCCAAACCAGTGAACCCTAGGCTGCCGAAGCGGAACGTGCACACTTAACTGCTATGCCACCAGGCCGGCCCTATCACTGTTTTTTATTTTAGCCATTTTAATAGGTGCAGTGATATCTCATTGTACTTTAAATTTGTACTTCTCTAAATGGCTAGTATGTTAAACATCTTTTTGTGTGTTTGCCATCTTTATGTCCTCTTTGGTGGAATGATTGTGTGTCTTTTGTCCATTTTCTAATTGGATTGTTTTCATCTTGCGTTTTGAGGATTTTGTTTTGTTTATGTATTCTAGACACAGTGTCTTTGTCATATATGTGATTTGGAAATATTTTCTTGTGGTATGTAATTTGTCTTTTCATCCTCTTAACAGAGTCTTTCACAGAGCAAAATTTTTTAATTTTGATGAGATCCAGTTTATCAGTTTTCTTCTTATGGACCGTGATTTTGGTATCAGCTCGAAGAACTCTGCCTTGTCCTGGGTTCCAATGATTTTCTCCTATGTTCTGTTCTAGAAGTTTTACAGTTTTATGTTTTACATTTATGTGTATGATCGATTTTGAGTGTGATATTTAGGGCGAGGGTTCGTTTTTTTTCTT